TTTCTTTAGCACGCTATTCAGCGCCAATCCCGCCGTGCAGTCAGTTTCACTGGTTAAGGTTAGGGTCAGGTGTGGGGTAGGTTTAGGGGTTAGCATTTTTTGTAGCATAGTGCAGGAAATCAACACTTTAATTGACACAACCAATAAAATCTTTAGAATCAGCTGCGGAGTTTGCACTGAAGTGGATTGGGGGAAGAAATTGCGCATGCATGTCATGTGCCTGTCTGTCAATGGGAGGAAGCCACGCCCTATTTTGGAACTCCCACCCCGTTTTGGAGTTCCCGCCCCCATTTGGAGATCTCCGGTCTGCAGTTATATCTACTTGGAGGATTCCGCTTGATCTTAAAGCAGCACTATGTAATTTTTTCTGTGTTCAAAATTTGCAAAATGTATATAATGAGCGAGTACATCATGAATTCATCTTCCAAACCGCATTTTTGTCTTATTCCGAATCACTACGGTACACTTATAATAAGTACTTATATTTGGACTATTGTAGCCTGGTCGGGTCGTCTCCGCTGCGGAGTAACACATACCTGCGTGAATCGCCAGAGACATAAACTTAGAGAAGTAGCTCCGGTTGGAATGTTCTTCCGCGGGATGTGTGCAGTTCTGTTTATTAACCGCTACGGCGCCAAAAGTTACATAGAGTTGCTTTAAAGCCTTCCTTGAGCGGCTACGTTCGCAATTCAAACAATGCTTTGGAAAAATAATAATGTATTTGTTATTTGTATGGTCTAGGTGGTCATACCGCGTATGCCTGCAAATACAGGAAAAAAAGATGCCTTAAATATGGGACGATTCCGTATTATACGGAACGGTTGGCAACCCATATAAAATGCAAAAGAGAATTGACTCGGGGGCTCCCTAGTGTTCGGAGCCCTGGGCCGCAGCCCATGTTGCCAATTAGGATAACCGGCCCTGTCCATAGTTACAATACAAATTTGACTTTATCTTGTGCTTATTTTTGGAAAAACAGTAGGGAGGTGTTTTCCCTCACGCTACCCTAACATTCAAAGCAATGTGCAAATACTTTTTATTTATTTTTTGTTTCTCAGGTGGAACTATGGTTACAGCTCTCAGGCTAGATAGTGTTAAAAAAGTAGCCTCGAAGAACATGTTTAGCGGGGAGAGCTGGCGTCCTGAGGTCTACATGGAAGCACTGCAGTCCTCCGGATTCACAGATGTCCGAATGGAGAATAAAAGAGAGAATCTCATCACATTTCAAGCTATTTTTGCCACTGCTGTGAAATAAATTCCTGTGTAATGTAATATATGCCCTTCCACAATTTTTATGATTGAATCTGAATTAGATAAATCCAGCAAGAATAAATATTGCCAATGACTGACATGATACATTATATCTATATGAGGTGCAAACATTTCTCAAACAATGACAAAAATAGCCTACAAAACCATTGTTTTGACCAACATAAGGTATTATGGAAAATTTAAACCACAAATTGTAAATAATAATAAAAAACAATTATAATAGAAATTGTATTTTTATGCATTGTTTTTTTTTTTTAGACTATAGGCTATATCGATAGTCTACCATTGTCCGGGAACTCAGTTCAGTATTTCAGTTAGACAAGCTATATTTACTTTGGGCCTACAGTATACATTTGAATTTGACCCTTTATTGTTTTTGCAAAAGTTTTAAGATATGATTTAAGATCTGCTATGGATAACTTGGGGTTAAGTTGACACGGACAAACAAACAATAAATAAATAAATTAAAAAAACCCGCAAAACTGAGGATGTTGAAGCATTCAGAACTGGACCAAAACAACACCAGTACGTAAAATTTATATCACCCCGAATATCTCGTCTAACAGGAAAAGTAATTGTGGGCTATTTACAGTAGTATTTTAGAGAAATTTGACAATACATTTAAACCTTTGGCTATTGTTTAAAGGAAATCAACTTGACATTGTTAAAAATTTATTGTGGATTTGTCTATTATTAAAGGGATATTTCACCCAAAAATGAAGTAGCCTAATACAAATGTATAGAGGAATAATAAATTATCTGAAGAGGCCCGATCGCACATCAAACATGTACTCATTTACCATATTTGATGTCCTCAATATGCCAATTGGTCAATATTTATATGTAAGTAACAGTCTAAATTATAGGCTGTTCATCATAAAGTCATCAGGCGAAGAGGATTGAACCACTTGATTCATACTTGATGAATATTAAATATCCAATTAGATCTCCATTTGTGTTTTTCAAAAGATTAGCAAATGTTGTATGTGTTTGGGATATAAGGGTGAGTAAAGGATGACAGAACGTTCACGAAGTAACCTAAATGCTTTTTAAAATTTTCTTAAAAAAAAAAAAAAAGGCTATATATCAGGGGTCACCAAATTTGATTCTGGAGGGCCTTTTTTTTACACACACGCACACACAGAGGCTCTGAGGTGGCATGAGTGCAATTAAATTCATACATTTATGTGGAGATTAATGTTTTAAATATAAAATTTTATATAAAATTATAAAATAACTGAAATTATACGCTAAAAATGAAACTAAATCCGCCAGCAGGTGGCGGCAAATCACCGATTTTATCACTGAATCATTTGTTCAATTGATTCGTTCGAACGGCTGATTCATTCAGGAATGAAGGAGACGGCTCACTTTATGAATGGGCCTTTGAATCATTGGTTCACTCGATTCGTTCAAAACGCAGATTCATTGAGAAACTAAACACCACTGTGATCCTCGGAGACGCACAACAATTCTGTTGTGGCTTTATAGGTGGCCTAATATTTTTGTTGGCAAAACAAGCAAAAACAGACAATATTGTGTTTAAAATATAACACAATATTAACTTATTTACTGAACTGTTGTATAAAATCACATTTGCACTCGTTATATTCAGGACCAAAATAGCACTCGTGATATTAGCCTATGCTCTGCTAGTGTGACAGGCCTATCGCTTATCATAGGTATATAAATATGAGACAAAAACTCATACAGGAGCATTTTTGCCCCAATATCTTGAATTTTAGGGCATAACTGCATTTATGGAGTTGTTGCCCTGTATCATAGCCTATTTGTCAACAGTCAGCTGCATGAAATGTAAGATGACGTACGGGTCTGGGGGCGGGGCCAGTGCGTTAACTGCGTTAAAATATTTTAATCGCGTTATTTTTTCATAACGAATTATTTAAGTTAACGTGTTAAACTGACAGCCCTAATATATATATATATATATATATATATATATATACACACACACTGCCGCTCAAAAGTTTGGGATCAGTAAGATTTTGAATTTTTTTAAAGAAGTCTCTTCTGCTCATCATACAGGAGCATTTTTGCCCCAATATCTTGAATTTTAGGGCATAACTGCATTTATGGAGTTGTTGCCCTGTATCATAGCCTATTTGTCAACAGTCAGCTGCATGAAATGTAAGATGACGTACGGGTCTGGGGGCGGGGCCAGTGCGTTAACTGCGTTAAATTATTTTAATCACGTTGTCGCATGATCTTCAGAAATCATTCTAATATGCTGATTTATTATCAGTGCTGGAGACTGTTGTGCTGCTTAATATTTTTTGGAACCGGTGATGCTTTTTTTCAGGATTTTTTGATGAATAAAAAGTTAAAAAGAACAGCATTTATTTCAAATGTAAATATTTTGTAACAATAGAAGTCTTTACTATCACTTTGTATCAATTTAGCACGTCCTTGCTGAATAAAAGTATTAATTTCTTTAAAAAAAAAAAATAATAATTTACTGACCCCAAACTTTTGAACAGTAGTGTATATTGTTACAAAATATGTATATTATAAATAAATGCTGTTCTTTTTAACTTTTTATTCATCAAAAAATCCTGACAAAAGTGTCACAGGTTCCAAAAAAATATTAAGCAGCACAACTGCTTCCATCATTGATTATGAATTAGCATGTTAGAATGATTTCTGAAGGATCGTGTGTGACACTGAAGACTGGAGTAATGATACTGAAAATTCAGCTTTGCACCACAGGATAAATTATATTTTAACGTATATTAAGATAGAAAACCGTTATTTTAAATTGCAATACTATTTCACAATATTACTGTTTTTTTTCTGTATTTTTGATCAAATAAATGCAGCCTTGGTGAGCAGAAGATAATTCTTTAAAAAACATTAACAATCTTACCGTTGAAAAACTTTTGACTGGTGGCGTAGGCAGATTATTCTTATAAACTGAAACAAATGTGCTTCAGCTAGCATAAAGAATTTGAAAAGTGCTCAGAGTTGCTGCAGAAAATAGAAAGCAGCAACAAAAACATGCTGCTGGAGACAGGCTTATTGAAAATGCAAATTCATTTTCTGCCAGGCCAGCAGGAGGCGCTTTTAGAGAGGAAGAAAAAACGGTTTCGACAGTAATGGCCGTACACACCTATCCCCTTCATTTTTTGGGTGAACTATCCCTTTAAATGTTTTGTTATTGCTTTAAATTCCTCTTAAAAATGAATGAATTGTCTGACATACTTTCCAGTCCTCAGATGTTAAAAACAACAAACCAATATATAGAGAGGAGAGAAGGCCAAGAAATGGACGGCTGCACATAGAATCAAGAAGAACAAGGTAAGATGTGTTCTTTTCATGACTGCCTGTTTAGCAATGGCTGTCTAGCAAAGTCCAGCAATTCATACACTGCCGTCACACACTGTTCACTTCTGTCTTGTGTTTTATGAGTGTTGTGGACACAGATGAAAAGATTTTTCTTAAGAATACAAATATGAAAACAAGAGAGGCACTGGAAGCACTTCAGAGCAACCCAAGAAAATCTTACAACATCTAAATTATATTGATCTCATTTTATTTTGCAACAGGATTTAATGTTTATTGTTGATGAAAATGTAGAAGTACCTTTGAATATTTTTTACATTCATATCGCCCTGATTTGTTCAGTAGTCTTCAAGACATACATTTATGAAACTAATAACTTTATTAAATCATTCTTTATCACATGTATACAGAAATATGAAAATATTTACATCCAGAATAGTGTCTGTTGTACAAAGATCTTAAAATTTCAATATAAAAATTACATTTTAATATACATTTAATATAAAACGAATAGAAATCGATAAGGATAAAAAGGTATAACATGCTAGATCAGAGGTAGTTATATTTTACAATACAATAGCTAGCCTACTTTACAATCTGTAAAAGATCCCGAACAAGCTTTATTACAACCTAATCAAATCACTCATAGTTCTTTTTAATCTTCAGTTTATAGCATCAACATGTTCAGTATATTTCATGTTTTGCTCTACCTTAATCCTGTGGACTTGACAAAAAAAAACAAAAAAAAATCTTACATTGTGAAGCTCAAACATAGGCTATACAAGTACATGAATGCAAATGCTTTTAGCTATGCAAGCTTGAATTTAATGCAGTGTTTAATTTTGAAATGTGTTGCATTACAGATTATTACAAAAATATGTTTTAAATTTGCTTTAGTGTGTTTTAATTTTTTATATGTATTGCATTCTCAGAGTTACTGTCAGCTGGATTATGGTATGAATTAGCATAATGTCTCCTATGGTGCATTTTTGCTTCTGTCAAGTTTTTTACTGTCACAATGCCTGCTAAATATATACAGCATGAATAGCTTGCAGAGCGTTTACCAAGCCTTTTATGTACTTGCAGAGAGTATGTTTATGGTAGTATGTTTTAGCACCTGTTGGCATGATGTTTTTGTTGTTGTTGTTGTTTTTTAAGACACTAAATATTATTTGACAATATACATAGGTATTTAACTTCCCATACATTTTTTATTATTATTATTATTATGTAGGGACAAGTAAGCAAGTGATGACTTGCAAATAATTAACGAGACTTTGATATATACACACTTGGAAATGAATGCATAAAAGTTTGCGTACACAAGAATTGAGCTTTATGTAGAGACATTTTTTCACATTGAAATATTTAGATGCATAACTCCTTGTACATCAGCAAACATCCCTGTGATATTTCCTAATTAAAGGAATGTTCCAGGTAGGGTTGCAAAAAGGTGGAAAATTTCCAGTAAATTTCAGAAATATTCCATAAATTTTGGAAACTTTTTTTACCGGAAATTGTCCACCCCTTTGCAACCCTAGTTCCAGGTTTAAAACAATGAAATGTAGTGCTCATGAGATGTGAGACCACTGTTGTAGGCGGATTCATTTTTAGTTATGCATTACCAACATCATTTCTGTCATGGATTTGTCTTTGTGTTTTGTAGATGCATTGTGAATTTGAATTTTGATGCAGGTGCAGTACTTCGCCTCATTGACTCCCATTGTATGTACATAATGCATGATTTCCCCCCCGCTTGTTTAAAAAGAGGGTTGAGTAAAAAAAGAAATTACTTTCGTGAAAATCATCAATATTCCATGCATGGAGGTGATATTAAACCCAGAACACTCCTTTAAGCTAATTACACAAACAAGTTACTAAAA